AATGGACTGTGCTGGGTGGAAAGCACTGCACTGAAAATTGCAGGGTGAGATTTACTTCACCTTTAGTCATTTACTCATTAATTGTCTGTAATTAGACTTGAGGTTCCCTTGCTGCCTGTGACAGGTTATCCCATAGGAGAATAGGCCCTCCTGTTTTAGGGTGGGTGGGGGACGTGGCTGGTGTGAGTGTCCTTCTGGAAGGAGGTGCCTGTCTGTCCACTCTACTTCCTAGGGAATTGTGCTAAACAGTTCAGAGCATTAGTAGTCCAGATCCTTTTCCTAGCCTGAGAGGAGTGTTTCTCAGTCACTTGAAAAGGTACATGACAAAGTAGAAAGTTATGTGTGAATTCTCAACCTTTGCACGCAGTAAATGGCACACAGGTGAGTCAGAAAGCCATTACTACTTTATTTCCCTTGTGTAAAGTCTCAGTGTGAATCTGGTGTGTAAATAAGCAGGTTCTTCTTGGGACTGCTCTTGTATTCCTCCTTGCCCTGGTTTATCTTGCAGATCTGTGGCTGCCCACTCTACTGGAAAGCACCTCTGTTCAGTGCATCTGGAGGAGAGAGGACAGGACGTGTCTCTGTGCACTCCTTTGTGTCCATGTGGAGAAAGTGAGTATAAAAAATGCAAAACTCTTTCTGGAAGAAGAGATCAGCCTGCCATACAACTATTTTTTCCCCCTTCTTTTCCATCAGACTTTTCATACAATTGTCCTCTTCTTTAAGTGGCTTAAAAATCTCCATCAGCTTGAGATTTTTTTTCCCCCCAAATCCTCTGAGCACTTGTTTCTGTGTGACATCCACAAACTTGGAAGTAATTGTATAGATAGTAAGATGTTTTGAGTTAGTTGCTGTATAAAATATATTTACGAACTCCTCAGAAATGTCACCTATTCTGAGGTAGCTGGTAGTTGTCTGTGGATTTGAGGTATTTTTGTGCCCAGCCTTATTGCTCTGGACTGGTGCACTAAGCAAGTGATATTTTGGAGTTGGGAGAGGAGGTATGTGATAGTGTTACAGGAAAGAGGAATATGGAAATAAGCATCATCATATAACTGGGTACTCTGGGAGCTTTAATAGTTACTACCTTCCCAAGCAAGCTATTGAATTCACCTGTGGAGTTTGACAGTCCACACTGTGGAAATGGAGAGCTCTGGATGGATGCTTCATTATGCTTGGAGTAAGCTCTGACATGGAGCAGACTTGTTCTCTTGCCTGATCTTTTTCCCCTCCAGGGCAATTCAGGCTTTAGTCTACTTTGTGAAACACCTGAACAGCTTCTCCATCTCCTCTCCAGAGAGAGTCCTAATTTTTTACTTAATGGTTGCTCTTCAGACTCTTGACGTAGTCTTTAACCCTGAATTCCCAAAGTATTTCCTGTGATGATGTTGTCAAAACAGCTTCTAGTTACCCTGGCAAAATTACAAAAATGTTAGGGGTGACTGTGATCTCTAAGTTTGTCTTGACACAGACAATATATTTTCCTTCCTTAGGTTCCTCCAATTACTTCTAATTAATCCCTAATGTATGATACCACATTTTCACTTCTCTGATTTTCACATCCTTCAGATATTTGCAGACTGTGGTCATGTCCTCTTCTGTATCCTTTTAATTACCCCATTTCCAAGCCAAGCTTTGTATGCTTTTCTCACTTAGTTACTCTTTTAGAAATATATTATTTTTTATCCCCTCATCTTCCCTTCTGACAGTTACAAAATCTTTGCTGGAAAGCTGAAAAACAGAAGAAATGTAGGATTTTTGGTAAAGTTTGACTGCAGCTATGTGAACCCAGGTATAACATCAAACCAAGTATATTTAGTTGCTGAAGCCTATTTTCAATTTTCTTAGTGGTGACTGACTTCTCAAGATGCCACATCCTCACTGCTTGTCAAGTCTATAGGAATTTCTCAATATAAAGCACTTCTGAATGTCAGATCTTTTTGTTTGTGGCTAAAACTGGGCTTTGGGATTCATCTTTATGTGCCAGTTTTTTTTAAGCTAAAACATTAGCACCTCTTTCTGCAGCTGATTTAGAATATATCTGTTAATTGACAGTTACCATGATAGGAATGTGTAGCCAAAAGGATTGCTAAATCTTTTTTTTTTTTTTTTTTTCTTATTTAAAAGAATCCTTTTTTTTGTAAAGTCTGCCTTTCCCAGACTGATGAGGCCAGAATTAGCAGGAAACAAGTTAGTGTGATTTCTGCTAGAGAACTACAACCACTTCAGTACTATGTTCATGCACTTTTAGGAGAGGAAAGTGGTGAATAATCACTCACAGTAAATAATTACAGTGCATTTATATTTTCAGAGTTAATGAAGAAAACTGTAGTTTTCTGAGTTTCCCCAATTATGTCAACAACATAGTGTTTGATATATTCAAATGTTGTGTTCTGTTAGCAGTGTTTGGTAAATGGCATGGAGTTCCTCTCTTCCTGAGTTTCTCTGGGGTTAATCCCATAACTGTGATACCTTTGGCCAGTGCAGTAATTTGTGTGAGAAGGCACAGACAAGAACTGGTGTGTCAGATGCACACTGTCAACCAGAGGGGACTGAGTTCACACACTTCTCCAAATGCTCAGTCCTACTAATGCCTTCATTAGGCTGTTCTCTGTGGCTTTGGTGCACAGCTCCAGATGGGCCATAATGAACAGGGGACGCCCTTTTTCCTTCTGAGAAGTGATTTTTGTGGGTGAATATTCAGTCCCTGTAGTTTGGCAGTTTCCCTGAATGTTGCAGTATAGTGAAGGGTGACATTAGAGAGTGCACCCTGTGGCATCCCATTGGGCTGGTGCTGTTCACTTGGAGTGAGCCTGCAGCATTGGCAAGAGTCAGGTGACTTACTCTGATTCTACAGATGCTTAGTAGGAAAATTGCTTTACCACAGCAGTGTTAACCTGGAAAAAATCCCTTCTGGGTGCTCTGGTGCAGCGGAATGACCTTGAAGGAAGTGCTGGCAGTCTGAGGTCAGCATTTGAGTGATTCCCAGCATAGGGAATTGTGCTGTAAGGCTTTGTGACCCTCCCGGGGCTCCTGGGAGGTGCAAAGGGCTGGGAGTAACTCCTCCCCTCTCCCACAGAATCCTGCGGAGCTGCCACGACGATGCCTCCAGGTTCACTTCCCTTCTGGCAAAGCCTGGCTGTGAGTGCCTACAACAGGAGGACTTCATCCCGCTGCTGCAGGTACTGCCCCAGCTCGGCGGGCACGGTGGGCACAGAGCTGCGTTCCCTTGGCTCCTCTTTGTTTCCATGGCAATAAGTGTTTACCAAGGACGAGCAGACCTTTGGTTTGAACACACCTGGGTGGGGTTCATTTTGGAGTGAAATAGAAATAAGCTTTTTAAGTGCTAAAGTGCCAAACCAGCTGCAAATCCCGCTAAAGGCGTTGAGGACTGATCTCTTGTCAGGATTTGTATTTATCAGTGCCTGGTAACCAGGCTGCAATTTGCTCCATTTCTCAATGTGGATATTGGGAAAAATGCTTGTTGCTGTTGATAGTCAAGTACAACATAAAAGCTTATTGGAAAAGTTGTAAAAGTTGCTTGGCAAGACAGTTGTAATTAAATTTGTCTAGCCAGACTACCAGATACAGTATCACATGGAGATCTTGGCAAAATTTCTGCAGTTCCAATTGTTCTGTATATGCCTCTAAACCTGCTACTGCACAAATGTCACTGTTTTGTTTTTTTTTCCCCTCATATTCAGGCTAAATCTGCACATCGTCATTTCATGTCTCTTTCCCTTTCATTAACTTTAACAAAGTATAGTTGTTTTAATTATTTGTGGTCATTTATGCAGGCTCTGGATGGGGCTTCTCTATAGTGTCTATAAATCACATCCATGTGCTCCTCTGATCAGCAGTTGTGTTTTTTTTGATCTTTTCCATGCATCCCAGTGCTGCCCTCTGGGTAAAACCTCTGTGGAGATGCTGCTTTGGGGAAAGATTTTGTGTCTGTGCTGGCTGTTTCTGTCTCAAACAGAACTGGGGCTGCGATGCGTACATTTCCTCATGTTGCTCTTCATCTCTTCTCCACTGGGCACACTGCCTTTCCTGGTGGATTGCAGCTCTGCTCTTTAGCTCCTGGTGCAATCCAAGGCATGCACAGTCCTGTCTGCCAGTAAGCCAGAGATCAGCAAAATTACCCTGATTTACGCCACCATGTGAGACATCCTGTTATACTGCCCAAAATCTGGGCATATCACACCCCTGAGGGCACCATGGCATGGAACAGGCACAGCAGAACTTGGAACACCTTTAAAGGGTAGAGGAGTCAGACATGGAGAAATTACACAGGCATTGATTCATACAGGATCTGAACTGATTCATTCAGGATCTGAGCAGTTTCTCCATGGATTTGATCATGCAGATTTGGCATTGTGAGACAGTGTTTTACTTATAAAAAGCTGGTATTGAGAAAGAGGCATCTTCACAGGTAGTCCAAGTGAATTTTGGAAAAGCACTAATCATGTCTGTAAACATTCTGAAGCTCACACAGCTTTCATTGGACATAGGAGACTTTCTCAAGGAATATTTATTTCTGACACCTAGTTCTAACAAATGTTAATATCTTCAATGAATGGAGGAAAACAAAAATCTTGGAGAGGAGATAGTTGCATGGTCAACTAACTAATTTTTGTCTCATTCAATGAAAATGAGTTTTCATCTACTCACTAACTCTCTTCCTTTGTTTTTCTGTCCTTAAGTAAATCAAACTGGCCCACCAGGTGCGTATTGCCCAGCAATGCATTCTGTTACTGTAATAGAAGGTTCTCTTGATAGATTAAAAGATTTCAGTTTTATTGTTAATGCTGCAAATAGTTTCAAGAGTAAGCAAAAGTATTGGTTTATAAAGCCAGTAACTTCTAAGCATTAAAAGAAGAAGAAAATCTATTTCATTTCATTTTCTCTTACCTTGCAGGATGTGGTAGAAACTCATCCTGGCCTCACGTTCCTGAAGGATGCTCCGGAGTTCCATTCCCGGTATATTACAACGGTAGGCTGCTCCTTTGGTCCCCTGTGATGCCTCTGCCTCCCTTTGGGATCTGTCACTGTTCCTACCAGCAAATCCTTCAGTTATTTAAAAATATAGGTGTTTTTAATACTACTCACCATGAGGTATTTTAACGGCTGCTTCCAAAAGAAAAATAATCTGCTAGTGTGTGCCAAGGATTATTCCAAAGGTTAATAATGGTTCTTTCTGGTCTTAAGCAAATCTATAAAAACATCTTTTTTGGCATGATGAATGGAAAAAAAGTTGTTTGGTCTTTGGGAGCTGCTAAGTCACCCTGAATTGTGCTGGGCTGCTGAGACATGGAAGGCTGCCTGTTTTAAGGTTTCTGTCACTGAGGCCTGGAGAATCCATGACTGTTCCTCAGTGCAAAACGCCCTTTGCCTCCAGGGATCTGCTGTCCAGCCTTCCTTTTGCCAGGATGCCTGTCCAGGCTCTCTGTCCCTAAGCTTTTGTGGCTGGATTTGTAGCTGGGGTTTGTTCAGTAGCTTTGTTCCAGCTCTGCAGTCAGCACTAAGGCTGGCACTTTACCTAAGTGTGTTTCTACTTTTTTTAAGCCTTGAGCTTGACTGGTGTTGGGTGTGAATCTGGATAAAAGGTATAAATGTTGGGAAGTTTTATCTCTGCAGCAGTAACAAATTCAGATAATGACAGACCTGATGGGAGCTATATCCCAACAGGGCTCAGGGCTTAAAGTTTCTCCTGTTTGCTTGCTAGGGCCTGCCTGGGGCTGCACCACACACGGCAGCTGGGAGGCTTCTGGCACACACATGCTTGTTCCTTTCCTGTAAGGAGCAGATGGCACAAAGACACTTCTTCAGGGCAAACCTTGAACTGTCACACTAATGAAAATGTATAATGAGAATCCATTCTAAATGTTTTAGATGCACTTGAACATGGCAGTGAGCAGCAGTGTATAATCAATATGTTTAGTCCCTGTGGAGCAAGACAACGTAAACATTAAGCCAGAACAGGTATAGGAATGGCCAGGGAATTATGGAGGCATGTGAATGAGAGAGTGTGGAAAGTGCCTGTGGCACAATGCACCCTGGTATTTGGTATTTCAAGTGCATGGAAGGGTGAGACTGAAAGGTTTAAGGTCACACCTGGGGTTGGTTTCTGACTGCAGTATCCACGGGTCAATGCCATGTGTGTGGTTGCCCTGGCTGCTGACAAAGGCAATTCTCTGCATCTGCCTTTATGGTTTCCTCTTATGTCACACACTGTTCCTGTATTTTTCAGGCAAGAAACAAATATCTTTGTAGAGTAATCCCTCACGTGATCGCCCTTGCTGCCCTTTCTGGACTCACCAGGGGCACTGCACCATGAGGCTGAGACCAGCTGTGTGAAGCTGAGCTTCCACTTCCAGTTAACTGAAGCGCAGGCTGCTGCTAAAGGGCAGCACCTTTTCCTTCCTCTCTCCTTTTCCACCACTTCCCTGGTGCCTGGGTTTGGTGCTGTGTCACCAAAGCAGTCACAAAACCAGACATTGCTAAGTACATGAAGCTCCTGAGTGCTTCTTGATCCTGCCTGTATATCTGCTGTGCTTTCCTGCTGCAGTCAGAGCCTTTGGGCATCCTTCCTGGCAGTGCTGGGACACAGGTGGATTCCAGGCTTGTTCCAAAGGCAGCAGGGAATGGTGGTGCCTGGAGCTGAGGAGAGGGCTGTGGAGCAGCACACCTGACAAAGGTGAGCTGTCCTTCAGCTGTCAGGACAGCACTGCTCTGGGGGTCTGTGCTGACAGCAGAATCTCCCTGGGCTGGAGCAGGGCCAGCACCTGGGGAGGCAGGAGGCTGCTGGGCAGGCTGTGCCCATCTGGAGGGGCAGCACTCAGTCCTCTGCAGCAGTGGCTCTGCTCTCTGATAGCAGGAGTTCCTATTGCTCACCTCTCCTTTTGCAGACAGTTTGGCACATCCCTTTTTAATATTACAAAATGAAGTATTTCCACCAGGAAGCAGTGAAGGAAACAGCTTTGTCCTTGGATTTTGAGACCACTTGGATCATTTTCATTGTTTCAAGGTAGAGTGCCTTATACCTCCTTACAAAGACAGAGTGCTGTATTTGCTGCCACACAAGAATCACAGTTCGTGTTTGTGTTACAGACTAGGGCCATAAGGACACATGGCTTTGTGTTCATTGCTGGGTACAGCATCACTTGGCTGAAATCTCCTGGAGAGTGACCTCACAGTCTAGGATGGGTAAGATGTGAATGCACATTTCAGTTCTTACTGCCCCCTCAGAACCTTTTAAAGGGGCCTTTTGGACACAACAGGCTGGAATTTCATCTCTATCTTATCTGTTTTATTGGCCACTGTATTACTAAACCAGTTGTGTTTGTTTCAACAGAGACAACTCCTGAAGCTGGTGAAGATGATGCAGAACATCACAGAATATCCTGGGGCATTTGTTGTAAAGCTTTAGTGTGACTTCTACCTGAATGTTCAAACCAGGCTCAGAGTTAGCAGTGCATGCTGCCCTTGGAAAGCTGTGTGCTAAAAACAGATTAAAGATTAAAGCTTGTGGAAAAGTGCTTCAGCTTATGCAGTAGCATAAATGCAAATGTGTAAAGGGACAATGGCCACAGGGATTAATAAAGGTTCCTGTTTTGTCCACAATTGGTTTTGTTCTTGTGTGGGAAGACTGGGGAAAAGTCTGGAACTCAACTGTGAATGGTTTGGGCCTGGAGGCCAATTACATGAGGATAATGGGGAAGTAGAGGCTTCTCTTTCCACAAGCTAATTAAGAATTTGACTCCATGATCCTTGTGCCCTCTTCCAACTCAAGATGTTCTATGGGTCTATGGTTGTGTACTGAACTAAGAAAAATGAAGCCAGTTATGGCCTAAGTGACAAATGTGACTTTCATGCTGCACATCATCTCCGGCTGGGTAATGATCTAGGACGTTTCCCAAATGCTTTTTTTGACAGCTTGGTGTTTACAAACTGGAAAAGAAAAGGATAAATACTGAGATTTTATAGTGAGATATATACTATGTACTGTCCATGGAAACTGGGCCATTATTTGAATAATAAAGCCTTCACTGAATGACTGGACGTGGTAAGAGACATGAAAAGAGATCCCATTTTGCCTCTGAATGGCTTTTTTTTTTTTACAGATGGATGAGGAGGGAGCAGATGGAACATCTTTATCAATGTGGTCTGGTAGACAAACAGTTTTTTATGTTTGGAATAATAACAAATGGGAATAGTTTGTTGTCTTTTACTACCCTGCAGGCAGAGGAAAAGTAGAATTACTGGTATGGGGTCTTGTTTCTGATTCTTGGGATTGCTATTTTTGAGTCCTTGGAATGGTGTGAACACCCTGTATTTTTAAGTGTTGCTACAAAGTTGTCAGGTGTGATAATGGGTGATGTGAGAGGTGAGACTACTCCAGTCTCTGAGCTCTTGTGCGAGCTGGAAGCAAAAGCCAAACAAAGTCCAGAAACAGACCAGAATGGCAGTGGCTACCAGAGGCATGAAAGAAGAAACAAATATTGTGCTTAAGACCAGAAAGGATCATTGTGATTACCTAATCTGACATCTTGTGCTACACAGGCCACAGAACATTGCTCAGTGATTGCTACAGTTAGGATGGGTCTGGTTTTTGGTCTGTTTTTAATTAAAATGACACGCAACTTTAAAAGGATATCCACCTCTTAGACCTGGAGGGACAAAGAGCCTGCAGTGTTACCAAAAGGTGTCATGTTCAGCTAAGTTGAATCAATCAATTCTGTCTCTTCAGGGTACATTTGAATCCTCACATCATTCTTGTTGCTCTCAGAGTTGTGTGTGCCATCATCAATTGCTGTCTCACTGTGTATCCCAAAGCAGACTGTTGGGAGCAATCTCATATTTGGTTCTGGATCTGTTCTGGACCAAGAACTAGCACTTGTTTGACTGAGTCCAAAGATGGCCCTTGGTTGCCTACTTGAAACTAGTTCTGGCTAAAAGAGAAATCCATCCCGTTTAACCTGCTAGCTGAATTAATCCCTGTAAGGTCCACATTGTTGTATAAAGTTAATTCTTGCATTGGAATAGTGTGCACTAAAGGTTACCAAAGTTCTGGGGTAATGTGCTTACATGTTAGAGACATCAAAGATTTGTAGTAGCTTTGGTCAACAAGATTTCAGTGCTGATAGTCAAATTAATTCTATTCCTCCTTTCTCATGCCAGTGATACTTACTTGTTGTTGTTTGCCCTTGTTGTTAGGTTTATTCTTGGATGTGCTTGGTCACACATTTGTGTTTCCTCATTCTGTGATGTTACTTGACAGCTGAGAGGGAGCAGATTGGGAAGGGCTGTTTGCTTTTCTGAAGAGCTTGGGAATGAGCTCAGTCTCACACTGGGAGCTGTTTGCTTTTGGCTTCTGAGAGTTCTGTGCCTCTCCCCCATGATTTTTGCTCACTTTCACCAGAGGCAGATCTGGAAAGGAGCCAAACAAGGTTAACACCTGCCCAAAATAATTGCAAACAGAACCTCTCCTGCTTACTTTCAGCAGAGGCACTGGGAACATGAGGCATTGTTATAGTTACAATGGGTCAGACATTCACCTTGTCTTTCATTTACATGTCTTGCTTCATCTGCAGGAACCAGAAGAATCAGAAGTCCTTTTTTTTTTTTTTTTTTTTTTTCCTTCTCCTCTAGAGCCCTATTTCATTGGGGATCCATGCAGACTACATCCCCTTAAGTGTGAAAAACTCAAAGTGATTCATCAGCACTTTGAGCGTGTTTTCTGACACAAATAATACATCTGCATGCCCAAAGAGGTGAATTTAGAGCAGGGGAAATGTTTCCACACTAGAAAGGGATAATACTGTTTAAGAAGCAAGTGTTACTTTCAGACTGTGTAGTCAATAAAGGATAGTAGTATCCACAGAAAAGATCCCAAAACAGTTTTCAAAAAGAGGTCTCCTTAGGATAAGTGAATAAACCCAGGGTACTGCTTTTAAATTCCCAAACTGCTGTGTTTCAAGCGTTGATTTCAAGATCACTGCTCATCTGTTGCAGGTTATCCAGAGGATATTCTACACAGTCAATCGATCCTGGTCGGGGAAGATCACTCTAACAGAGCTGAGGAAAAGCAACTTCCTGCAAGTACGTGGGTTTCTGTGGGAGCAGGAGCCAGAGTGCAGCAACATTCCTTGTTCCTGTGCCTGGGGGGTGAGGGAGCTGCACCTGGGCTGCAGTGGGATGAGCCAGGTGCTCAGGGCCAGGAGTCTGCTGGGGCTACTGGAGGAGCTGTGTCTGAGTTGAGGTGAGAGAAGCAGGGACAGGAGTGGCCCCAGGGTGCTGAGAGAAGGTCAGGGCATGACTGTTTTCCTGCTCTGAGGCCACATGGAGCAGCAGCCCGGCTCCTGGTCCAGACAGCAGGAAGGGAAGCAGGACATGGCATTGCACCCCTGAGAAGTGGCTCACAAGGAGCCAAGAAGAGCTGCAGGAGTGCCAGGGGTAGGAGAGCCAATTTCCTGCCCCCTAGGCAGCCCTCAGCCCACTGACAGCTGGTCAGGAGTATCTCTGCAATTGCAGGATGAGGCACCTCATGGGCTGTTCTCCACAGGATAATGAATGGAGCTTAGTTCTTGTTCCAGTGCCTGCAGTGTGTCCTTATGTCAGGATTTGGATCTCTGTCCTCTGTATTTTTCCCAAAAGAGCACCAGATTAGGACTGCCTCAGGCTGCTTGTGTCCAGCCCAACCTAAAGAGCCAGAAAGTCTTGCGGCTGAAAGGTGAAGGATTGGCTAAACTAGTGAGATTTCCCTCCTGTGTCCTGTTTGCCCTTCCAGGTGTAGTGTGCTGTCTTCCTCAAACCCTTCAAGAATAAATTCACATTCTTTCTCTTTTAAGACATCATCTCCCCTACTTGGCCCCATCAGCTAATGAAATAATGAGTGCTCTTTTGAATTGGTTCATGCCAGTCCAAGCCCTAGGATCCCTGTTCCTTCCCAACCTCTGTTACAAATAAATCCTCTTGGATTATCCTGCACCTTTATTCACTCATTTTCTCCCTTAAAGCATTCTCTCATTTTTTCTGCTTTCATATCTACTCTGCCTTTCATCTCCTGCAGCAGGGAAGTTCAGCTCCTTGCTGCAGGTGTAAATGGCATCTTTGGGTGTGATCTACAGAAGAAAAAAATAGTTATGGCAAAAGCTTCCCAGTGATTGTCATCTGTGAAGAGAGAGACACAGTCTGGAGAGGCCAGTGAGTGATGGATCAAAGGTGTTGAGACTTGGGTGTCAGCGAGTCAGAATAGTGCAGGTCTAGCAATGCCATCCTGTTATCCCTGCCAGAACATCACTGAACCTGGTGGGTAGCAGGATGTGAGAGTTTTGTTTGGATTCACTTGGATTCCTTGGATGTGGAAGTGGCTGGAAGTTGATGTTGAAATACCAGTGCCAACACATAACACAGCATGTGTTTTTATGGTTATGGGTAGCAGGGCCAGAGAGCTTGCCTGCTTGGGGACACCATTCCCTGGGATAGCTCAGACTGAGTTTTGCCTGCTCCCTTGGGAGAGGCTGTGAGGGCAGGAGGGGTCAGGCCTGCAGCTCACTGGAGCCATGATTTATTAGACAGGAAGGCTTCTGGTGTCTCATGGCCTCAGCACCAAGAAGAAAAGTAGGGAGGTGGCACTGGGAAACATGCAAGTGCCCTCTTGTTGCTGGGAAGGACAGGGAGGTGTAAAGTGGGAATGAAACATGGATGTTAGCACTAAATGTTTCCTAGTAAGACATGTCAACAGATGTTATGGTTGGAAATCTGTCTGAGCCTCCCAGTTAAACCAGAATGATTCCTGCAACAGCACAGGGAAGTCAGTGGGATTAGTTTGGGGTCCATCCCTGCTGTCCCAGTCCTGGTATAAGTCTGTAACAAGACTTGATTTTGCCCTTCAGGAGGCAGATGGGGATGTGTGACGTGTAAATACATACCTCAGGTCCTGTGGAAGACTGTGGACTTGCTTCTGGAAGTGGCTCTAAGAGTCTCTGGTGCAGGTCAGGATTATCTCCCAGACCATGGATCCCAGCTGACACAGCAGTTTGTGTTCCTGTTTCTCTGCTTCACTCTTCACTAGGGCTGAAAATGAGCAAAAATTGTTGACAGGAGTGGCAGAGATGTTGTGCTAAGCAGGATGGCCAAGCCAGATGCTCTGTAAGGGCCTGCTAAGGAATACAGCAACACATCTCTTGGGGAAAGGCTGCACTTCGGGTTAGTTCTCAGGGCTGTATTCACCCAGTTCACCCAGAAACTGGAGCACTTCAGCTGCTGAGCTGCCTCTTCATCCAGCTTTAACTTCCCACTGTATTTGTACCCTTTCAGACTCTTGCTCTCTTGGAGGAAGAGGATGACATAAATCAGATCACAGATTACTTCTCCTACGAGCACTTTTATGTCATATACTGCAAATTCTGGGAGCTGGATACTGACCATGACCTTTACATCAGCCAGAAGGACCTGGCTAGGTACAGTGATCAAGGTATGCTGCCTGCAAATGTGGTGAGGGCATTGCTGAAAACAGAATGTTCCTACTGAAAACTAAAGCCTGCTGTTAATTTGGTTAATTTGATGCCTCAGAAGAAGTTTTAATGTAGCCACCCATCTCTTAAATAAATGTTGCTTTA